TCCACTACACATATCAAATCTCATTTCGCACATGCACAATCGCAAATTCCCGGTCGCTCGCACTCGCGCGCACCGCCCGTCGTCGTCTCTTCGAGGAGGGATCTCGTTTCAATTTCTCAGTCACCGAACCACGGTTGAATTATTCTTAACCCCTCTTCCTCTACCACTCGAACTTATCCTGTCCACAGCCGTGGCTCGGAAGAGACGGTATATAGCGGCGGAGGCAGTTTACAGTGCACCACTATACTGCGCTATACACAGGTCGTATATACTTATACCTATATACACACGCACACGCTAAAGAACACGTTGGAATCAATTTTGGACAAGTGGGCCGCCGCTTTCTATGAACGCAGTATATATATATATATATATGTTTGTATGTATTCATTTCCCCATATACATATACTACACAGGGGATCCATAATAAACGTCAAGCTTTGCGTTGACATATAACCAACTCACTATAATATGTGAGAAACATATCTAATTTTTTTTTAAATCTATTTTTGTGTAAATTTAAAAAATGGAAACTGCACTGACAGTAATTTACAGTTTATTATAAGTCAAACTATAACGAATTGATTTGTTATGAAAAAATGCAATTTATTATAGACCCTAATAGAAAGCCTAATTAGTTTTAAAATATAATATTTTAATCAAAAATTTTATGAGACACTTAAATATTTTTTGTAATGTAGTTCATAGAATTGTAATAAATATTTAAGTATTAAATTTTTGTTAACACGTTATTTATAAAATATTTTGATAGTTTATGATTTGTTATTTAATAAATAGTAATAGTTCTTATATTATTTTATAGTGAGCAAAACGACACTTAAGATGACGCCACACGGGCATTTGTTGTCTTCGTCTTACAAACGTACAACATGGTAAATTTTAAGTTCACAATAATACATTTTAGTATTTTACCATGTCATGTTTAAAATCATAGTGAATTTATCTATTATGAAATAAAGGCAAGAATAGTATCTAGGGCATCTTGGAGGATTTTATTTATACTATTATTTTTATGTAAATAATATTCATTTTAAAATGGTCAGTTTTAAAATAATTTGAAAATTATCATCATGTACTTCTTCTTTTCCTGGCATTTCTACTCTCTAAGAATTTTGGCCGCCATTACTACACTTCGCCACCTATCTCTATTTTGGGCTGTCTCTCTCCAATCCTCAACTCCAAGGATTTTTAAGTCTTCCTCTACCACATCAATCCATCACCTCTAGGTATTTTACCATGTGGTTTCCATTCCAAAGCTACTCTAACTACTTCTTTCTCTCGTCTTCTCAATATGTGACCTAACCATTGTATTCTTTATAATTTACTTAAAAATAATAATATAAATAAAATCTTCCCCAGACACTATTCTTGCTTTTAGATTTTATAAGAGTTAAATTTTCTCTCATTTAAGAAATTACAGAGTAAAATATATTATTGTGAATGTAAAATTTGCCATGTTGTACATTTGTAAGACGGAGAAAACAAATACCCGTGTGGCGTCATCTTAATGGACGAATAAATAATAAATAATCATCAAAAGTACACCGAAATGTGTATAATAGTCAAAAGTCGATGTAGTATGTATAGATTAAAATATGCACTACTATAATATTCATATATATATTTATTAAATAAAATTATATATTAAGTACCTATACTGAAATAATTTTTTTTTAATACACATTCAAGTGATATACTGAAAAAATATTTTTAACTAAATAAATAATGTACCTATTACAAACATCTATAAAATCACCGTACTACAACAACTAGTATTATAATCACAACAAGATAAAAAAAATATTTAATAATATTCTAATTGTGTTGTAAATTGTTGTGTAGATTTACACTTTTTAATATTATTTTGTTTAAGATGGATGATAAAAACAGAAACAATATTTTCTATTCAAAATATGAATAGCTAGTCAATATAGCATCTTCTAACAAAAACTAAAATGATGTAATAAATATTCTAATGGTAAAATGTAATTTGGACGTCTAGACGATTTAAGAATTATTTATTCAATAATGAGGTGTTTATTCAAATTATATGACATAATCTACTGCCCATAACAATTGTTTATAACATTAATATACGGTTTTGATAAATGTAAATGTTATGTGAAAAACTGCGGATGCGTATGATTACTTATTACTTATTAATAAAACATTTTAAGCCATATTAATAAGACTGTCTAGATTTTAGATAGTATATTATGATATAAGAATCAATTTAATAATTAAAATGCATTTCGAATGACGCAAGGTTAGGTTAGGTAAAAAACGCAACCAAAAAAATTTAAATACACTTATGGTGTTTTAGTATTAATGCGATCTATCTGTGCAAAATTTCTGACAAATTTGCAATAAAAAGTCGTTAACTGAATTTTAATTTAGTAAGTCTTTTTACTTAGTAGTCACTATATGTTGTAAGTTCTCTATAAATGTACATATTTTCTAATTATTTTAACAAACCTAGATTTAACCCACGTTTATACTGACTTGATTCGAATCTAACTTATGACAAACAATTATTACTGTCACTATTTATTATTGAGTTGATTTGTATTAATTATATTAAAAATGAACTAAAAAAAAAAAGTAATTCGACAATAGACAATATGCATGTTTAACTTAAAATAAATTTAAAAGTTGAACCACAAATATACTTGGGATGTTTCAATACTAAAGTGTATTATTTAATAATATATTTACTTACGAGTTGCTTCTATTTTTAATTTACTAATCAATCGAAATAATTTTAAAGATGATTAAAACGATAAAATAATGAAACATGGAAAATTACATATATATTTTGATTATGAAGTAGGCACATTAATAAACATTATTGATTTTAAAAGCACAACCCGTAAACTCTGGATAACTAACAAAAAAACAATTTGATTTATATGCAAATATAGTAAAAAATCAAATCAAACTAATGTAAAAATCAAAAACTAACTTAATGGAAACGTTACCAACATAATTTGATTAATTCTGTTTGTTTATTATAGGTACCTATAGGTATTAAAATGTTAATTCTAATAAACAAAGACTCAGAACATATATGTTATTATATACCTAGTACCTATATATTATGGTAAAACACACTTTATACGTATTAGTGTTGGCAGGTTTCACTCACCCAACTCAATATTCCCTTACAAACCCCTCTGCTAGGAAAAGGGATTGAAACTAAAACGACGACCCTCTTTTTGGCAGAAAAAAATCCGATGATAAAATCAAATGGTCAAGTAGCGAATGTAACTTAATAGGTTAAACGTACACAAGATTAGATGATACACGTGTAATTGAACCAAACTCACCCCAGAGAGTTTCCCTAAAATCGGCAAATAGCATTTGTCTTTTGGTTAGAGGGTATTTACACAGTTACTGGATGAATTTTTTTTTTATTGTAGTATGATTTCACTTATATACTTATATATACAATATACATACTCGATCTCCTCAAACAAAATGTCATACGAATTTAAATGTAAAATATAGCGATTATTTAAAAACGTACAAAAATAAAAATAATACAATAGGTAGGTATTCAATCAAATTGTCAAGTATATTAGTTTACATATTGAGAATGAGTTGGAATAGAACAAAGTTATTTAACTAAAAACAATTTAATAAGAATAAATAAATACCATAAATGATATACTCGTAGCTTAAGTTAAAAGTAATAATGACTTATCACGTATATTACAATAGAACTTGGTGCATTTAAAAACAGATAGAAAAATACTGTTTAAAACCTTCGTGAGTAAAGACTTTTGAAAATTAATTTTAAAGTTGTATATCTATTTCGATTTTAATCGTCTACATTTATACATCACCCAATTAATAATTATTAACTTAATAATACGTTTGATTAACAATGATTCGACTATCAAAAATATAAAATTAAATACACACATTTGAAGCCGTTGACTAATTGTTTGTAATACAGCATCACAAAATATGGTATCTAACAATAAGTTCATAAACAGTAATATGCAAAACCTTAGGTAAAATTGTAGCAAAATATAAAAATATACAAATGTATGAAATATTGTATAATGTACATAACCTTGATGAATAATTTTACAAATTTTATAATGTAACAATATCAAGAGATACAATTACATTGATAATTTTTAATATATTTATATCCAATGTATATCATATATTAGATAGGTGCTATGAAGTTCTCAGTTGTACAGCAGTCTGCAATATATAATCGAACATTGACTACATTTAATGTCGAATTAATTTAAATAAATTGCCAAACGCCACATAGTTATTATAAGCACAATAATAGTATCGAAAAAAAGTTGCAATAAAATGAAATTAATGGGTTTGACTCAGTAACAGTTTTTTAGCCGTTTCATCAATACAAAAGTCCATATAGTTTTAATGATTCATTTTTCCAGCCGTTTAGACATTAATGTTAGAACTTCGGAAAAGATTTATTCTAACCAGGTTGTTTTTATAGCCCAAATCGATTTTGTATGCTAATAGGAAAAATATTCATCCATAATTTTACAAACGCTATTTCCATTGGCTTACAAAACAATGAGTTTCGTTTTATTTATGACATAAAGCAATTCACGAAATATTTCGCTATGCCTGGTTATATTTGTTTGTGTTTAAGAGAACTATGTTACAGCTAAAACGATATATCGAAAAAAATTATCACTGTCTGAAAGTATACTATAATACGCGTATAACGTGTCAAAGATTTGAAAGGAACATAATATTATAATAATCATCATCATACCAGGTATTTTGTCTACTTCTATGGTCTTTATAATAAAAATATTATTACATATTATACTAGGCATATATTTTATACTTAGAAGTCAAAAGAGTTTGTGACCGACTATAAACAACGGAATATCTTACACTTATGCGTTTACATATATAATATATATACTAACACTTATAAATTACCGACCAGTATATATTATGCGAATTAAATAAACACTTACGGTAGCTTTGTTTAAGTTCTTCAAGGACTCGCTGAGTAACGCCTTTTCAGCTATTACCTTGGCTAATCCACGTCTGCGGTACGTATTCATAATCCCAGCTAAGTACTCTAAGAAATGTATCGTTTAAAAGTTTAAATTCACAGCACACTCGTAGGAATCAATTGCATACATCTTAAACATAAAATATAAAATATATTTAGTTATAGGTAATTCAAAAAAAAAAAAAAATTATAAGTATTAAATCGTAAATTGTTAGACTCAAAGTATGAAAATAATTGAGTGTTAACGTTATCTAAACAAAACCTAAAAGATAAGTAAGAAAATGTCATTTTCTTCATGCTTATTATTTTTATAATCCATGTACCTACGCGATGAAGTAAAAGTAAAAATGAATACAAAAGAACACATTTTATATGACTTATAAATATATGACTTTACGACATTTAATTCTAATTTTTTAATAATTATTCAAGAATATACATCAATTTAAAAAAAAAATCGAACCATAGTTGACTTCAAAATACTAGTCTATAAAGTTTATTTTTCTTCCTCTCGGTTGTATTAAAATCATTGTATTATTTTCTTTTAAGAAAAATAAAAATATTTTGAATTTATTTGAATATTTTAAATTTCAATGTATCAAATTATTTAAGCTTCTGCTTTTCACCGAGTACAATATCAAGTACATAAGTATTTTTAAAAAAATAATAAGTTATTGTAAAATATAAATAGGTTAAAAAAAGGAAGATATTCAAATTGAAATAATTGTTCTGATAAAAAAATTGAAAATCAACTTATAACCTCTAAGATAGGTATAATTTGAAAATTCTAAACAGAACATGTAAGTGTTTTTGTTTTCTCCGAGATAAACTATATGCTAGGACAAATAAATATTATAAGACCTACAGAAAATATAAATAAATTGCTTATTCTAAGGACTTTATATTTTTACTATTTGTAAGACCATGTACATTACTAGCATTACAGAACATATTATACTGCAAAAAAAAAATATAAATGGATAATAATAATTATCATGATTTATGATAATATACAGTAGGTATTCATATTATGGACACATTATTTCACAAATGCTTACATATTATGCTCTTAAATTTTAATGAAACTATAATTTATTTGTTTATTTCGTTAAAATTAATTCAAAATTTAATCAAAAATTAATTCAACATAAGCATACCTAATATCTATAATTTAAAAATTAAATATTTCAAGCAAATTTTTTTTGGTCATAATGTTGTTATACAATCATAGAGTATATTGCTTACAATTGTATTTCCTATCATATTATATTATACCTACTTACATTGATAAATAACTTATGAAAGTCAACGTTATCAAATATCAATTAAAACTAATTCACAATTAAAGGGAAATATTGATACAACTAATATCATATATAAGCCTAGCGTAATTTATTTTATAGTGCAATCGCTAGTTCAATAACACTAAATTAAAAATTGTATGTGTGTTACTTTAATAACACATCAATACATCATGCTACCATATAAATATAAAAATATAAAGTTTTTTTTTAAATTAAACGTTGAATTGTTGAAATGTGCGTTGCCTATTAAACTTATCAATTTAGAAAACATAATACATTTATGAAATCTGTGGCAAAATGAAATGAAATATTTTTCTACTTCATTTGATATTAAGTTAATATGCACTGATTATCAACTGTCTGTAAGAAAACTTAATGTATAATATTGTAATTCAAAAATATATCTCATTATTTCTTTTGCGATGTTTCAATAGGTGATGTAATAAATATGTCAATTAAAAAACGTAAAAAATAATAATCTAGAAGCATTTACCTGTCACGTAGTGGACGTCTGGACAATATATCTTGGTGCTATGACCACCCGATATGATGGAAACAAAAAAAAAAACAATGGACTATCAAGAAGAATACTAAACAACCATGGGATCGTTGCTTCAACATAATATATATATATATATATATATTTGTTTTTTTCATTCGTGTTAATAAATACATGACAAACATATTAAATATATTTAAAATTTAAAAATAATATATGCACGCTACGGGGTTACAGACAACACTATATCAATAAAAAAGTATGTACCTACAATATATAATTGAAATTAAGACCATTATTTTTTTATGATAATAAATAATAATATATAATATGCTCAATGTAAGGTAGATATTTTAGAAACGTTGGTCAAAGATTCGTTTTAATACGTTTTTAAGTATTGAAGTAATCAAAGCAATGTTTTTACCTACTTTATCGAGATTGTTAATGGACCGTGTTATCACAGATAGTTATATAAAACCGAATAAGATATTAAGTTTATTTTTTTAACTATAGGTATTTCTTGAGAGTTTAGGCTTTTAGCATATCTTATATTTTGTCACAATATCCGCATTTTATTATGGCTGAGTACACGAGTGTTTGTGATTATAATTTATATACATTTCGTGCATTATTTCCTTGATTATAAAACTAGTAATCACCAAGAAGCAATGCATAAATCAAAATATAGATAAAATGTAATTTAATAATATTTTTAAATGAACAAATATTATAATTTTTGTTTTACTTCATACATTTTAGTTAAATTATTATAAATGCAAACCAATTTATAAAAACTATTTGTTATTAGGTACCTAAATAGGTTTTATGTATTTTATAGATCAATAAATTAATGTCTCTAACAAATGGCACTCATAGAAAAAATGCAAATACAATAAAAATAATAAAAATAAAAAGTACACACAGCAGTAATATTGTAATAATAAATCATTAGTGAGAACCCCAAAAGAGATGTTTACACTATGAGCACAAAAAAACTAACCAACCGATTGTTGAGGGAGAAATGACTTAAGCCCTTTTTCTTCAATGCCACTCAGCCCTCTCCTTCGTGTATAGATAGATACTTATTAATTTGAATGTTGTATGTTTACTTAGGCCCGATGAGATTAAATCATTGTTACCAGGTGTTTGTTCAGGTCAATACACTTAGTCTGTTTAGCTTTTTTTGGTTGGTAAGTACGCGGTGACTTGCAACGGAAGCACTCCGTCTAAGTCTCAGCAAACGAAAGCATATTTAAAAATAAAAGAAATAAAACATTATTTTGAGTGGTAGTAGAAAAATAACTTCCTCCACATGATCATTGACTGTGCTGTAGCAAATGGTCATTGAGAGATATTTTATTTAACGGATATAATACTTTATAAAATATTATATAAAACTGCTCGTGCGAAACATTAGCACGTGAAAAGCACTGAAAATAATGATAAGTAAAACATTAAACGGAAGTTATGCATTTGCATTTGAGACTAATTCATACTCGTAATGCGGATGAAAAAGATTAAAAAAAAACAAGTGCAGTGACGATAGTCTATAACAATTTTGATAATCGAGTTAAATTGTGTAGAAGAAAACCCATCAATAAACATCTCATCTACAATTATACTACAATTGCATGAAGATTAAGGATTAATCTATATTTGTTGTTTTATATAAAAGTATCTAAATAAAATCAAAAATAGAATGTCAGAGCAAATATTTGTTTCCTCTCTCGGATCCATTAGCAACATGGCAAATTTAAGTTCAGCAAAACCAACCTTGTGATATTAACTTTAGTATTAGAGTTAAGTGACCTATCGTAAAATTTTAAGTTAAAAACATTAATTGTGTTCTTATATTATTTGTAAAATTTTTCATACCCTTAACTTCCATAAAAATTGTAATATCGTATAAAGGCCCATATAACATAGATAATGTTTATAATTTGAAGTTTTATAATAGATCGAATCACTCTAGTTATTACTAAAGTTGAAAAATATACGATTGGTTCTACTGAACGCAAGCCATGTTGCGTGTGGGTGAAAGACAGAAAAAAATAATGGGCTGATCTCATCTTAAGTTTGAAATTAATTTTGAAAAATTCCTAGGGTTTTATTCATATACGTAAACACAGGTTTTGTTTTTCATATAAAAAAATATAGTCAAAACTATAAAATATTATACTTGTATTCTATTTTTTTACGTTAAAATGTTCGTTTTGTACCAAGAAATATTTCAAATAATAAAAAATTACAAAATATATACATACAAATCAATATTTTTTAAAGATAAATCTAGAAACAGAAGTGTTTAGACTTGCATAACAAGTACTGTATTTAATAGCAAATATACCTTTAAAGTTATTGTGGAATAAAATTCCATTAGTATTGAACAAATTTATTTACCTAACTTTGATTTTCTGAGTATGAATTGCTATATTTAAATCTATTTCTATTTTTACTTATTTCAAATTGCATATAAATAAAATTCTATTGCATTAGTATTTTCGACAAATGATATTGAAAAAAATAAAAATGTATGACGGCCATATCTAATTGACAGCTATTAAAGTGTCATTAATAGTTTTCTCAATATTTTTTACATTTTTGTTTCAATTGGAATACAATTTTTTTTTAAATGCTGATTTAGAATTAATGTGAATATTCATGGAAATACTATGATAACCACCTATACAGTTCATAAATCTAATATTTAAGTTTCAAGTCCCAATAAAAAAAATAGATTAGTTAAGAAAGTGAGCATTCAGACATGCCCAACAAAATATATAAACTAAACATACACTGACTATAGGTAATATAATAACTACTGCGACACTGACTTACTGAAGTACTTTACTAGGTATTAATAAATATGAATTCCAAATACTTAAGTATTTCAATTTCATATTTTTGTAGAAGAATAAACTATATACCTATGTATAATTTACGAACCCAAATTATATAGAAAGTAGCAATACAATAAATAATACTATACTTAATACAAAAATGTTTTGAATACTAAAAAAAAGCAATTAATATTAATATAAAAAGTGTTTATCAATAATACTTTATCATTTATATATATATTGCCTGTTAATCCAAAAAGGCACACAGGTACTATGTGTCAGTATTATAATTAAGAGGCTAATCATTTTCTTTTTGATGTACAAAGTGCCTATAGTATACACAGAACATTTCCAAAATATTTACACTTCGTTAATATAAAACATTAAAAAATACAACAAAAATAAACACAAACAATATTATTCTAAACCTACTGTATCCGCACATTAAACAAACATTATTAAAATTTAAGACGTTATTATAAACACTCCGATCAAAGGGTACGTATTAATGTTTTTAACTTATTACCTATTAGTTATATTAGAGATATAATTATTTATTTAATATGAAAGTATGAAGTTATCAATAAGAGTGTAATATGTTTAGGTGCATTGTAACAATAACAAAATAATATTAATACTTCATCATTAATATAAACATGAATATTATCGCTTATAACGAGTCATAAGAAAAATATATTATAATTGAATGACCTTACTAAGTTTATACAATTTAATTTTATATTATTTTTGTGCCCGTCATCACGGTTTGGGGCAGTAAAAAAGCTTCGATTTTCTTCAACAGGAACTTTTCTGCTAGGAAAGTGAATCCAGATGTATTCGGGAGGGTCAAATATAAAAATTCCCAATAGTTTTCAAAAGCGACAGGAAAAACAAACAACAAATTAGGTTTTTGGAAAAATTGATTTTGGTTTTTTGTTTAATTCTAAAAAAAAATACCATAGATTCATGACATTTTGTGATATCATTTTCTATATTCCAAAATATTTCGACTCATGTTGAACTATTTATAGACATATGAAATTTTAGACTATTATTAGTTTATTTTCGATTAATATCTAAAAAAAAATGCTAGCCTGGTAAAAAAATTTGAAAATATAATACAAAGTTCCTCTGAAGAGGAACATCCTCATAAATTGTTGTTAGTGTAAATTAAAAAAAAAGTTGAGCGTATGTTTATTTTATCAATTCATATGCTTGATAAAATTCTCAAAATAATTAGACTTGTTTTGAGCTATTTACGGACATTTTCAATTTTCTTTTTTCTATAAATGTCATTAAAATTTTATTTGTTGGGTCAAAAAGCGTGAAAATTTAATACAAAACTTCTGATGTATTGTTACAATATCAGCTGAAAAGTATTAAAAATACATAGGCACGTTTTTGTTTTATAAGCATTTAAAGTTCAAATGTTGACCACATTTATCAAACTAAAAAATGATTTTGTAGTTAAACATGTATTAAATGTTTAACTTTTATAGGTAAGGGTTGAAAATTTAAAACAAGGTTCTAGGTAAATAGTTAATTCTCTAACTAAAAATTCTAAAAATAAACAAAAACACAGCTTTTTTTATAGTTATTTTAAGTTCAAATTTAGACGAAATTACATTTTTTATGAACACAAAGTACAATAATTTTAGTCATATTGTTGTAATTCAGTTCCAAAACATCCCAATTTCACATCATAAGTCTGAGATAATATTTTACCAGCATCACTGATAATTTAGGAATAATATTAATTCAACTTACCGGTTACCGTATTAATAAGAAGTAATAAAAATATAAAATATCCTAGACTGGCATACCGTCTCCGCTCAAAATCGTTTTTTGTACACGATGATTTTATATCATTGAATTCGAATTGAATATTATCCATTACAGGCTACAGCGATCTTCTATACACCTAATGTACAGCAGAGGGACATCCACTTACTCGCTTTTTAATTAATGTTACTCGTAATAAGAGGAATAGTGTGGTAACACTGACCTAATGTCGACTGGTGTGTTATTCAAAACGAAATGTACCCGCCACGGAATGTGTATACGCAACTACATATTTTATACGTATCATGAGTATAATCTCACATACACAAATATCAATATATTATACACAATTTCAAAGCCACAACTAATAATTAAAAATAAATTAATATTTTAGTCCACTAAACGAATGGTAACAAATGAACAAGTACGGTACACATTATATTTTGGAAATAACAATAACATTAATAATATTATAATTGGTAACTAACTGGTGATGTTGTATAAATATAAACATCGATAAACTGGAATTTAATTTAAACAATTTTATCGTAAGAGGTTATGATACCTGAATACGAATACGTTAGAAGAAAAACATTGCACTGTCAAACCATATTAAACGAGTAATAATTTTTTCAATAACCAAAACAATCACAACAAACTTAAGATGTCAATATTACGTCTATTGTCTAATAAATGTACATACCTATTTGATATCAGGGCGTATACGACTTGTACTTGCAATCAGTGAGTTCAGAATAAAAAACTAAAAAAAGAAGGTCTTCAACGCATTAGTATAGAGATTATGTTTTAAATATAATTAACAAAACATACACTCTCGATCAACAATTATTAGTTTGTTTTCAATATTTCGGAACTGATAAGGCGCGAGTTATGATAAGAATAACCGGCTGTTTGTCAGTCGTGGTACATTGGTGGGCGGGCGGTCGGTGGCGGCTGATGACCGTGCAGGTTCTAGGCGAGCCGAGTGTACAATAATTTTTCATACGGTATTTTTTTTACATACAATAATTACCGACATTGGAACTGTCGTCCTTTAACCATCGAATAGTTTTTACTCGATGCTATAACTATTTAGGTATTATAATATTATGTTCACGATCCTGTACAATATTATTTATAAAATCGATTATGGTGTAGGTAATATATATCTAAAGCGTAAGTATCTAATACAAAAACATACAAATAATATAACACTACATTCTTGTTTTGTCTGAAATTAGTTAGTAAAATTAACTATTTATATTAGCTATACAGGGCTTGTAACAGGAAGACCAGACACTGATAAATGAAATAACTTTTGTTCTAAATTCTAATCAATATATTTTAATTTTTTTTTATGTAATATATAATTTATTGACTTTTGCTTTTAAGTAAGTGTAACATTTTTTGTTTTCATATTTATTACTAAAATAAAAAACTTTAAATCTGATATAAATTTTTTTTTGAAAAATTCATTACAGCCAATGAGTAATTATTAGGCAAATTTTGATTGTAAACATATTTATTAAAATCATATAACTTTTTTTTTTTAATCTCGTTATTTTTATTAACTTAAGTTGATCAGTCATATAAACCATTTTAAAATGTTTTATGACATTTTTTTTAACAGGCCCTTGTTAAAATCTAAACTTTTTAAAAAAAAGTTTTTATTTTTCAAATTATTGAGGTACTTAAAAAAATGTATACTTTTTAAAAAATCATAAAAAATAAACTACTTAACTTAGATAAATGTTTTTACTGCCAAACGTTTTCTGAAACTCATACTCCTAAATTGTCTATATTGAATTTCTCAAAAAGATTTATTTCAGGTTTCGAAATTTGTATTTTCAGCCTAAAAAATGAAAATAAAAAACATATTGCGATAAATACATGTTGCGAAAATGTCAATAAATGAAATACATAAAAACTCTAAACAGTGATTACATGTAAGGCCTGATTAATAAAAATTAGGTCATAGTACTAAGATCCATTTCGGAGATCTATACCTTAAAATAATTTGAAGTGCTCTCTTAAGAACAGCCCCTCATCAAACATAGAAAAAACTTAACATATCTAGCACAAACAATACTTATGTATAGTGCCCTACTTTTCTTATAGTTTATTTATCTCACAAAAATACCGATTAATTCTTCCCCCCCCCCCCCAATTTAAATCTTAATATAATCTGTTAAAACAAAAATGTCGAAATAAAAAGAAAAAATCGCACAATGTGGTTCCTAGCCTGCGCTCGTATTATTGCATTTCGCATACATATTATTGAGATATGCACATACTCAAGAATTTATTAGATTAAAAACATGAGCTGTATTGCAATCGTACAATGTAGAATGTAGATTGTGTATAGATACTGTGATTGGAACTTAAATTAGTTATGAATTATGCTTCACCAAATTTTTTGTCTAAATGTGTATTCAATGACCTCGCAAATTTGTTTTAGTTTTCTTTTTGAAGTTAGAGTATAGCTGTCATTATTTAAGTATTTCCTCGACGTTGTTTTATTTTATTCAGATAGGAACATAAATAATTACCATAATATTAAGGACAAGGAAATAAAATATAAGTAGGCATTAAAGAAAACATGATAAAGCGTTCTGCATTATTTTAATTTTACATGTGGAATACTCTCGTTTTTCAATTTATCAATTAGATACTATCAGCAGAACAAAATCTAATTATCGGTATCGGGTTTTAATTATGTGGGTCACACTACTAGTAGATATATAAGATAATGGCGATAACACTGCAGTATTTATTTCAATTGAAAATAATATATAGGTATAAATATTCTATATTATTTTATAATTAATATGAAAAAAATAGGGGCATGGAGAATTATGTAGGTTGCCCTTCAGAACCCTTCATTTTTGAAGGTTAAGTGCACGTGTGTCGTCTGGACTTGAGTTAATCAGCGAGATCTGCAGAATATATTAGGTCAGTATAGGATATTCTTAAGCTGATATCCAAAATATTAAATATCTTATAATTTAACAGCAGTTGAATCCAAGTTATTTTATATAAATTGATTTTTAATATAATATTTAGACTTGAACTATTACCTACCTATTTTATATCATGCAAAGACGTTATAATTGCACGAGTAATAGGTAATTACACAACTATTGAATCAAATACATGATAAACAGTGATTAAATTAAAGTGTTTATTTTCGTGAAGACTGTAGATATACATATACTTTAAATTAACTACTGTTTAGTAATGATAATTAAAAAAAAGTACCATGTATAAAATGGATCACCCTATAAAACATGATATGAGCAGTTGAGAATTTTGTTTTTTGACTATCACCTATCAGCTAATCTAATTTTAACATCAATAGTGTATAACAGTTGGAAATCAACCCTCAAATCAGTTAAGTACCATGACAATTATTCTTGAATCAACTTTCTCTATGTGTTTTTAATTAAATATTTCATACTAATGTATAGATTTCCTAATTCATTATAAAATATACATGATCAATATTTATAAATTTATAAAAATATAAAATGTTGACAACTTTGAAATCGACGTTTCATTCGTAAATTGATCAATATCAGTAATCTACTTCGTCACCGAATTGTTAGCCTCAATTAAATGCAATCTGAATTTGTTCGGAAAAAGTGCGAATCCACATAAAATAAACTGGTGTCAGTAAATCTGAGTACAGTTGATTAAATAATTTTTTATGAACGTATAAATACACGTACTGTACGTGCACTAAACAACTAAAATTTATTTCTACGATTAAAATAATTCTTACGTATTTAACTGAATATCTATAGAAAAAAAAATACGTTTCCTCAATGGGATCCTTGGCAATTTGAAACCATTAGTTTAATTGTGTATAAACCTTTAAATAAATAGTGGTTGTCTAATATATAGTAGTTAGGTACGTCTTATTAATATGTACCTACTATATAAGCCCAACACAAACCGTATAATAGGTACCTATACTAACCTATAAAATGTACGCATTGTTATATAGAGCAGATACTTACAAAATATTATTTTTATTTATTTAACTGAATTTACCTATTATAATTTAGGTATTTTTAACAAACTTGTTGAGACGATTATTTATATAAAGCCGTTAATAAGCGTATAGTGTACCTACAATAATATGTCGAGTAAAAACGTCTGCCCTGAATAATATTGCAAGGTATATATATCCATAGGCTATAACTGCTTATACATATCTAATGAAATTAAAGTTTACCTTCCTCTAGTTACCGGACGTTTTGAAGTCACTGTAGTATTTACTGCAGAAAACGAATGAAAAATAATGATTTATCGTTAGACAGCGTTTGGTGAAGCCCATAATTAAAATTATTTAATCATTTTCATGGAAAACTAGAACGTACGGACTACCGAGTAACACTATACCCAAGGGACATAATATTATTGCATAAAATATATTTTTTTAAACGTATAGCCAATTAATCTATTAAATATTAATCAATGGTGGCTTACCCCGGGGGAGGCGGGTTTAATTAGAATAATACTTTATAATAATAACTATTATAATATTCTTATTCTCATAATTTATTTAACTTTTTGTTGACGGCCTTTCACGGATGCTGATTTTACTATAAATGGCCGCAATGACTTAGTTTGCTGGGTTTTTAACTTTATAGGATGTCTGCCAATCGCTCGTGTATCAGTTTTAAAAATTTAGAACCGTTTTTCGAATTTAATAGTGTACCTATTTGTGTGTCATTTTTTTGCAGCCAATCTCTAACTGTAGGTATTGTAGTAATAGTGGGATAAATACGAAACATCAGAATGCCAGAATTAATGATTTATTATATTAGATACCTACTCGTTATTTATGTGGAATAACATTGAATTATAAAAATATCGATCTAAATAAATAATGTACCTATTTCACAATTATTTTTATAGGTACCTTGGGATTAACTAATTGGCAATATAACTGTACAATTAATGTACATCATGTATTATAAAGTACTTACTAACCTAACTATTACCCAATGAAACATAATACATTAATTATAAATCATTAATACCCTCATTGATCGTATTACCATAGGCACATTATTGTTTTAGTTGCTATTTTATTGTTTTCAGACGATGTTTTAATGCAGAAATGTATGGGAAAGTCTCTCCGCTATATAGAGCAGACGTAGAGTGTACCTCTACATTTACCTCATTTTTAGAATATTGTTTTTTGAATTAAAACAAAAGAAACAAAATCGATTTTGAGTAATAATTCACATTTTTCCTTAATTGATTGTTTTTAAATTCTCAATTTAATATTTTGAAAATAACTAAGAATATTCTTCTTTTGACAGTCAAAGTAATATCTAGAATCAATTTTCTATTTAAGACCACCATCAAATTTGAAGAATGAAAATGTCTTACTAACCCTATAAAGATGAAGTCAGACACAAAAAAGTAAATATATAAAACAACACACACTATTGTAAAACCAATACATTCATGATTCATTACTCTGCTCAAATTCTACAAAACGCTTAAAAAGTATTCTATATTACTTATGCCTAGATAGATGATTACGATCAATGCATAAAATAATTCCATAAATAATAATACTTCCTATGGTTCCTATGCCTACTTCGATTATGTCCAAAATATTGACATTTATTTTTTTCATCGTATCGGAATTTTTCAAGTATATTTTTATTTATATTTAGTATTATTCTTTATTTGGAAGATTTGTTTTTTAAATAACCTAAATTGTTATTGCCTCTGTAAAAAAGGTATATAACGATTACCGAAAAGTAATTATTTTAATTTTCATCCGACGATGTATTGTATGCACGGCGGATCTCCGAGAGCAATAGGATATACAGCACAATGAGTTTTTATACCGACG